GCCCCCAATCCCCAAAATGGGCGCCAAAACCCGCGTGGTACCCGCGTACGGGCCCCCCAAAGTTTCCACCCCCAATCCCCAAAATGGGCGCCAAAACCCGCGTGGTACCCGCGTACGGGCCCCCCAAAGTTTTTCGCCCCCAATCCCTAAAATGGGCGCCAAAACCCGCGTGGTACCCGCGTACGGGCCCCCCAAAGTTTTTTTGGGGTCAGCTTCACAACGTCTGAGAAGCTAGAAGGCTGAAATCTTGGGGTAATGTTCCCCGCCAAAGCGGCTATTAGTGGGCTCAAACCCAAGAAAGGTTGAAATCTGTCCCAAAGTTTTTTCGGGGTCAGCTCATAACTCGAGGATCTGAGAAGCTAGAAGGCTGAAATCTTGGAGTAATGTTCCCGCCCAAGTGGCTATTAGTGGGCTCAAACCCAGCCCCCGGGTAAGCGTGGTACCCCCGCACGAGCCCCCTTAATGTTCCCCGCCCAAGCGGGTATTAGTGGGCTCAAACCCAGCCCCCGGGTAAGCATGGTACCCGCCCAAGCGGGTATTAGTGGGCTCAAACCCAGCCCCCGGGTAAGCGTGGTACCCACCTACGGGCCCGCCAAAATTTTTTACTAGTGACCGGGGTCAGCTCATAACTCGAGGATCCGAGAAGCTAGAAGGCTGAAATCTTGCGGTAATGTTCCCCGCCCAAGCGGCTATTAGTGGGCTCAAATATCAGTTCATAACTCGAGGATCTAAAAAGCTAGAAGGCTGAAATCTTGGGGTAATGTTCCCCGCCCAAGCGGGTATTAGTGGGCTCAAACCCGGCCTCCGGGTAAGCGTGGTACCCGCGTACGGACCCCCCAAAATTTTTCTCGCGCAAATTCATAACTCGGGACCCGGGTAAGCGTGGTACCCGCGTGCGGACCCCCCAAAATTTTTCCCGCGCAAATTGACAACTCGGGGTTCTGATATGCTAGAAAGCTGAAATTTAGGGGAATGTTCCCCGTCCAAGCAGGTGCTAATGAGCTCAAATCCAGCCCCCGGGTGAGCGTGGTACTCGCGTACGGGCCCCCCAAAATTTTTCCCGCGCAAATTCATAACTCAGGGATCTGAGAAGCTAGGAGGCTGAAATC